CCTCATCATCATCATCATCATCATCATCATCATCATCATCATCATCATCATCATCATCTTTCAGAGTACAAAAAAATATACTTGAGACTTGAATAAGGTTGGTCACATTCAATCAGATGTTCGTATAGGTCTGGATGTTCAACGTTTCGCCAGTAAGGCTCCATCATCATCATCATCATCATCATCATCATCATCATCATCATCATCATCATCATCATCATCATCTTAGAGGTATGGTTGTATCATACCTCCCAAATAATCTACATTGTGTCGATGGAGCCGTAAAAAAGATGGATTGAGGGAGTCAAGAAAACCCTGAAAAATTATAACATCTCAATTGAAAGAGCCGCAGAACTGACCTACCATAGAAATCTGCATCTCCCGTCGACGCTGAACGGCAATAGAGAATGAAAAAGTAAAAGCAAGTAAAATAAGTACATTCATTTTTTCTTTTTTTAAATTAAAAAAAACCTGAACCCTATCCGTACGCCCCGGGGTCATTTTGTACCCCCAGATTGTATTCTTCTAATACGAAGATCTCTTTGAAACTTTCAGTATTTCTCAAAAATCATTTTGACAGACTGCTATGCAAAGCGTACGGGTCGGATTAACGAGTAAATTTCCTCTTTGGAAGTGGTGGCATAGAGTTCCTCACGTCGTATGGATACGATAGTAAAACACGACGTACGGATAGGGTTTGAAAAAAGTACAATCCACCGACCTTGACATTGACGATCCGATGGTGGAACAGCAGTCCGTTGGCCTGTCGAGTCTTGAAGGCCAGAGTGTAGTGCTGGTCCTGGCCTTCCGTCAGCGCAGGAACAAACTCCATGTACGACTCGCCCGGCTTGTTGAACGTCCACGTGCGGTCATTCTGCTGACCGCTGGTCTGGGACACGAGGGAGGAGCACAGGAGGAGGAGGAGGATGGTGACCGCTAGGTTGTGAGCGGAAGTGAGGGTGGCGGATGACAGTAGGGCGTGAGGCGGCGCCCAGGTAGGGGAGGTCACTCGAGGACCTCCTGATGACGTCATCCTGACCTCACAACATTGTCTGAAATGACAAGAAAAAGAAACAATAACTTTTAATATCAAGTCGTTTTTAATTTCGCTATGGTATTCGTAGAGCTATCTAGGCTCTTCAGTTGACCAAGTCCAATAGATTCCAACCAGCTGTGTAACCACGATTTCTGAAACTATCAATAGTTTCTATGTCGACGCCCTTTCCCCAAATGAATAAGTAGACAGATAAATAGATAGATAAATAAATAAATAAATAAATAAATAAATAAATAAAAATAGTATAGACAGGAATGAAAGACGTT